CGAACTTCATCGCAGCCAGTTCCAACATCATGTATATCGAACAGCTTTTCGCATTTTCTTTTCACGTCGTTCGCATCAATAATTTTGCTGCTCAACCGAAAATCCCACCTGGAAATGATAAAAAAAAAACACATGAGAAAAAATGAGAAAAAAAACCAATATAGTCCCCAATCTTTGTTGTACATGTACTGCAATCGTATACAGTGTTCAGTTCTCTATGTACTCTGTGTCTGTGCAATGTCGTCATATACAGTGATCTATAGGAACAAAGGAAAACGAAATAAGAGAATAAAAAACCAGAATAAATTGAGCCTAAGTAAGAGCCGCGGGACCGAAAACAATAACCTCGGATTGCATCACAAATCAATACCATTGAATCATTAATAATATCAGCTAAAATACTCATGCCCGAAAAAAAATGTACCGTTTCACAGCATGGTATAGTATTTTCAGAATATATCGATCTCAGTTACTTCATGAAGAATTTGTAGATATAAAAAATATATTCCGTTGAATTACTTTGTCCATGATTTATAACGTTGTAGAACTTTTTGTCGCATAATGAACGTTGCATTATAGAATTGATTGATGCTTGGATATTTACTAACAATGAATTGATCCTGCTGCAAAGTCAAGTACTAAAACATACCGTACTTTAAAATTGAGAACTACATCGTTCAAAACGAACAGTTGATTAACCACAAAGCCGAATTTAACCTTAAAACAAATTTGCATTCGAGGTCCTGACTATGTCTGCAAAATTACTTCTAGTCTTGAACTTTTAATTTTGAAGAAAGTACTTTTCCATGGTGCAGCATTTGTTTCATCTATTACAGCCGAACCTCAAGGGACGAAAAAAAAAACAAGTTATAGGGAGGTTTCAAATTGAGGAAACAAGCATTTTTGAGGTAGAAAATGCTAAAGAAAAAATTATCTGAAATTATGATTGATGATATTCTACGCCTTAAATTTCTTCCTGAATGAATTGAAAGTTGACAGAATTTTGAAATTGAAGGCAAGTGCTGACGTATAGTTACGAGTGGTTTTCAATGAATTGTTTGTAAGGGAATTCAGACAGGAACTGGCAAAAAAAATTTGATATTGAGAGGTTGTTTCGAGTTTTGGAGGATCAACTGTATTTCTCAAGCCATTTTTAAAATTAACTATCCCAGCACAAACAGCTCAGGAACGAATGCCTGGATTTTAGACGAAGCCTAATAAATTTTCTTTAAATTTTCACGGAAGAAATCCTCCGAAGGAAAAGTATTCCCAGCATTATATGCATCAAGGAGTGTCTCCGAAGATGGAATACCAGGAAATATCTCTAGAAATTCATACAGAGACAGTAGGAAACCGGATAAACTTCTTGTAGCATGATGTGTGTCTATATATACACAGGACTTCTGTGGGAATAAATATTCAAATGTAATCACATACCAAATCCGTGCCCATGTCCATGCCCATGTCCATGTCCATGACCATGACCATGTCCGTGTCCATGGTGGTGGTGGTGGTGAGGCCTGTGGTGGTGATGCCCGTGCCCGTGTCCGTGCCCGTGTCCGTGTCCGTGCCCGTGGCCGCCTCCGAAGCCTCCGTGTCCATGTCCGAATTGTGGCGCCGGTGACGCGTTCATCATGGACACCAACATGCAAATGATGGCCGCAACGATTGCCAGCATCAATGACTAAAATGTTTTTAAAAAAAACAACAAGCAAGATGAGTAAAATTAATACGCAAAAAGTTATATTTTTTGCATGGATAAGCGGACACTTCTGCCATTGACCCCATCCATCGTAAAAAAAAAAATCAGTCGTGCAGATAATGAATTAACCAAGAAAAAATATGAGGCAATACAATATGCGAAATTCTGCCTTTCGTTCATTTATATTCTCTATAACTTTATTATAGTAGATTAATCATTATGAGCAGTGGGTTTTGACTTTGAAAATAACGAATTCCTCACGAACACAGAAAAATTCGTGAATACATTAATGCGTCCTCAGAAATTGCTTGATTTCAATTGAAGAGAAACACCCGATTTGCCGTGAAACAAATGTGAGTTGTATAACTATCCATCAATTCTTTTTGACAAATTTCACTGCAGAAGAGAACGCCTTTGGCATTATTCTAAGCAAACATCTCGGTTCTATTTTTTTTTATTCAAAGTAAAATTGAAACTAGAATTCGCAAGTTGAAGGGAACGAGGCGGACCTTAATTCCTTTCGACCGATTGATTTTACTTTACACGAAAAAAAGGCCTTCAAATTATTAAACATTTCGGTGTGTTTTTACGATTCAAATTCAACATTGGATCTCAGAATAAACAGCAAACCTATAGTCAGAAAGAACAGTTATTCAAAGGAATATATAATTGTAATGTACTGTATATATACTCACGGTTTTCATGATTTCTGCTGTTGGTGCTTATGAGACTCGATAAATGTTGCTACGAAACACTGATTTTTTTTTTATCTTTCGCTGCTTCGCTTGTTGCTGCTGCTGCTGAGTTTCTCGAAGCTGTGATGGGCTAATTGAGAAACCCGGTGGTTTTTATACAGCAGCGATATTCACTTCCGACTCGGGCCATGGGGCAGGCGATTGTTCATTCGCCTTTGCCCACCAAGCACAAGGCCGGGGGAAAAACGTGTATTTACGCTTGGGGGAGGGGGGAAACACGCGGATTGCTCACCCATCACGGCTATGCGCGTATTTCCCGCCAGGAACAACGGAGTCGTGCTGGGGCGCATGAACTCGATTCGGGGAAGAGAACCCATTTCTGTGTGTGTGTGTGTGTGTGTGTGTGTGTGTGTATGCAGTATAAACAGTTTGTGCCCACTTGCCCATCAGCGGTATCCTTGTTCCTTGGTGGGACGTGTACAGTATCAAGTGGAACCTGGTGTTCACATTATAGACTTCCAGCATGCAAATGTATTTAAATGTTTCTCCAAGTTATCAAAAAATTGGGAATAAGTCCTCCAAAAATTAGAGTTGAAAGTCTCCAAGTCAAATTGGTGAGGGACCAGGAAAACAATTTGACTTGGGGAGGTTTTGAGTCAGGGAATCATTTTTGCTGGAAGGGTAAGTAGAACAATTTGCAGGAAATTGTAAATGAGGATATTCTAGGCCTAAACTTCCTTCTGAATAAGTTCATAGCTTGCTGAACTTGAATGTAGGGGTTCATTTGCTTAATTAGTCTTTCACTTCCTTTCACATGGTATAAAATCTATTTTTTTTCATTGATTTTCTCTTTCAAAGAAGTAGTAACCAACAAGCCTCAGAAAATTCAACTTACAGTTGTCTGGGCAAAAAAGACTGAGTTATAGAGAGGTTTTCAATGCATTGTTTCTAAGGGAACTCCAAACAAGACTGACTTGAGAAAAATTAGAGTTTGGGAGGTATTTGACTTAGGGAGGTATTTGACTTAGGGAGGTATTTGACTTAGGGAGGTATTTGACTTAGGGAGGTTCAACTTACAACGGTTCAACTGTAAAAAAATTTACAAAACTTTGAGTTATATAGAAAACAGCAGTGCAGAAGAAAGCAACAGCAGCATCTGATAATTTGGCAGAATGGAGCACAAGATTGCAAAAACAAGAACAAGTCTTGCTATAATGTGCTCAGAAGATAGAAACTGAAAAAGAAGCCCAAAATATCAGCTGGTTTTGATTGTGTATCAGAGTGAATCTATGTTGAAAAATTTTCCAATCTTTTTAATATAAATAGCTCAATTTGTCTGAGATATCAAAAGTAAGAGAATAGAACGTTTTGAGTTTTATGGAAAATGCCAGAAAAGTATCCCTCTCTTAAGCCAAAATGTCCAGATGCAGGCCAGATTGTTTTGGGTTTAGAGTGTCCCTAAGTCAAAACATCCATTTGTCAGGGTGTCCACATATTGAGATCTCACTGTATATGCAAGTGATTCCACAACAATTTTATACAACAAATGATTCTACAACAAAATTCAAGGGACAAGGAAAAACAAATTGTTGCAAAGATACTTTTTTGCAGATATGCCCAAAACATGGGGAGATAGCCCTATAAGACACAATAATCCCTGAATAAAAAAACTGCGGCAGTTGAAAAGATGATTGAAACAAGAAATAGTTGAAGAGAGATTTTTCTTGAGATTCCAAAAATTAAAAGTTCAAAAGGATTCAAACAGAAATCAAGCCATCACCAAGGGAAAGAATGAGTCAAAAGTCAAAACTTAATCGCATGAAATCACCGATTATGTAATAAACTTTCATGTAAAATAAGAAGTTATTTATATAACCAACAGAAAATCTGCGGGGTTTGCGCGTTTCTAGCATATTTTTTAAAGGGGAATACTGTGAAATATTTGTATTCTTGAATTTAAAAGTCGTTTGCGATAATTCCAGCGCATCACGATTAAACATTTATCGTTGAGAAATATTTTCAGTCACAACTTCCCATCTGGCATTCTTTGCAGAAAATATGTATTATTCTATAACAGTAATCTCTCCCCCCCCCCCAAAGTTCATTCGTCATTGAAACAAATGATATTTCCAATTTTTGAACTCACTCAACTCTTAGAGGAAACAAAGTTTTTCCAGCGCAAACATCAAAGAACTTTCTGAGGATTTATCATGAAAACCTTTTTGACGAAAATGTAACATTAAATCTTCCCGGCAACTTAATAGCAAACAAATTTCTCGAAATTTAAAAAAGTAGAAATCAAAAATATATTCCATAAATGTATTAACCCTAAACTGCAAAACGAACAGCTTTCTTTCTTCCATCACCCACCTTTTAATCAACTCTTGGGTCATCAAATATACCTGTAGTGATGCAGGATACAAATTGTTTCCCTTTGTGAGGAAAAGTTCATTCGAAAGTCTGGAAAAATATCATTCAGTCATATGAAAATAATTTTCAGATTAGGATGACAACGTCAGGCTACTGGAATGCAAAATTCTGTTGGCGATAATAAGGGTGGGAATTTACCAAGGGAATTCACGTGTGTGACTCACTTTGGTCGATGTAATTCCCCATCCTCTCTGAATCATGAATAATTTTGTCGCAGCTTCTCTTCAGCAGTATGCAGATGAGAGAACCAAAAGATCATTCAACCCGATCCACTTGAAAAACACCCACAGAAACTAAACGCATAATGCATATATAGTGTACATGTTTGAATAGGAAGCCCTGGCATCAGTTCATACATACTACTGTATGTTATTCAATGCCACAGGTAGTATTTACTTCAGTATACATATGGACCAGTATACTGTTGTCATAAAAGGTAAACAATATGATATATGACACAAGAATTGATCTACACCCAACAATGCGACTGGTTATTCTCACAAAATCAGTTCAGGTCTTGAGTTGCTTAATTTGATTATTAAATATTCTTTATTTACTGTTTATTGTCAGCATTCAAATGGATCAAAACATTGTGCCCCCTTACCCCCCCCTTGGACCACAAACATCCATTCAGCAGCAAAAATACATCACATATTACAGTGGCCCCCTGCCTAACAGACCTCCTGTGTAAGGGATTTTTGCCGAACAGACCAGCTCTGCAAGCAGTTCTTCCTCCCGCCCAACAGACAAAATCTGCCAAACAGACTTCTTTTGGTTTGAAATTAGTGTTGAAAATTGAAATTTTTAATTTTTTATGTAATTGAATTCGTGTAAAGGACTTTTTGTCTAACAGATTTGTCCCTTGCACAAATCAAGTCCGTTAGACAGGGGTTGACTGAACATGAAAAATGTACGGACTCTTTGATTGCCACCTTTTTGTGCCAAAAATGCACAAAACCTAGCAAGTGAAGTGCTGAATCCATGTCCTGATGGATTTACCATGTTTTGTGTGAGAATACTGAGTGGACAAACTCTTGGGATAAATCACTCCTTATACACCTTATAGCAAAGCTAGTAATATATACCAAGCTACAGTATCATTAGATACAGCTACAATTCACATGAATCTCTCTGAGGCCCAACATTTATTAAAGAATGGTCTGCAATGTGTACCTGACATTTGAAGTGGCTCCCTTGAAAACAAAGTAAATCCATTCCTAGATGCATTTTGTTTTGCTAAATTCTTGCAACTTTGAAACCTTATTTTACTTAAAATACTATTGAAAAATACTGTATATTCAATTGTGCCGACCTTGACACTTGCAAAAAAAAAACAAAAAAAAAAACAATAAAAATGATGTACTTTTGCAAGTGCGCATCATACAGGTGGAACCTTGCAATTTGACCTAACGCAATCAACCATCCTGCAATTTATAAGTCAAATTTGGCGGGAGTTCAACTCTGAATTCAACCTCTCCTGTGCAATTTATCCTGTGATGGAGAGCAAGATGAAACATCAAATGCCATGTAGAAAATATGCCCTTTGACATTGGCTCACAATTCAACCACTACTCTGCAATTCAACCCTAGTCTAGCAATGCATTAGTGTCAAAGTGCAAGATACCACCTGTGCCAATATTATAGATTAAAATTGAATATTTTGTGATTTATTCATTTTTTGAAAGTTTTAGTTCATAATTATCTGAAATTCGAAGTTGAAAAGACAAGAAAAGAGGAAAAACTGAACTGTTTTATGTTTTTGAAGTATGAAAAATTACTCATGCAATAAGTTTTAGTTCCAAACAGAATAAAAAATGAAATTTTTTTCTTCAACAAATCACATTATATGTGGAAAAATTTTACTTTGCTGTGGATCACTCTCTTCATCCCAAACGATTTGGCAGCGCAACATTTGCTAGGAATGTTTTGGGAATTGCAGGGACACACTGTTTTGTGTCCCTGCAATCAACAAAAACAAATTGATCACCAAAAACAAATTTGGTGATCAACTATCGAGAAAGCAAATGGACTCCGAGATGTAATCGTCATCATTGATTCTCGGAATAAAATGCATTTCGAAAGACTTGACTGAAATTTTTTTTTGGGTTTTCAGTTTAATGCCTGAAAGAATTCCAATTTGTTCTGTCCTACAAAGAAGAAGAATACCATTGAGGCAAGCCACTTCCTGCTCCGCTGAAAAGGGCCCAAGCTTGGGTTATTGAGGAAATTGCTGGGCACTCATTATCATCCTCCGTTTCTATCCCCAAAGCCCATTTTGTTGGCAATAAACCGCTGAATCAGGTGTTTGCCATTGAAACTCAACTACGGAGTATTCGGTTGCAGAGCACCTTTTCCAGTGAACGGGGAACTTTCCACTACAGTACATTGTTTGCTGTGTGTCAATAAATACTGTACCACAAAAAAGGGTTTATTGATAATATTCTTTGCATTGGAAATTTGTTCTACGTAAACCGCCTCTTTTTGTTCGGCTTCTTCGTCCTAATGGAAGTATAGAAACGTCAGATTATTCCAGCCTTGACCGATTTTCCCATGACAGGAATCTGTAAAACACATGACGTACGTGAGGTAAATGCATTCTTTTGCGTTATCGAAGATATGAATAATAAAGCCATACATTTACTCGTATTTAGCGGTTGATTTTAAACTTATGTTTTTATTTCAAATTAACTTGAAATGAGCATTTGTTTCATCGTTAGATGGGGGTATCCACAAAGTTCGATTGTCATTTTTATCAGCGACCGAGCAAAAAATTGCAATCATGTGATCAAAATTCCCTGCTTTTTTCATTAAAGTTATCATTAAAATCATTTTTGATGTGAGTATATTAATTTCACGCGCAGTCATAAAATTGATAATCAATTCAATTCTGAGTCTATATCTGTACCACACATATTAAAATGAAAAACTTCATCATCACTTGATTTTCAACGATCCGAGAAAAACTGATCATGAATTGATTGAAAGATGGGGAGTCCAGGAAATTCTTTCGTTGATCCAAAAAGGCAGGAAAATCTGAAAATATATATGTGAAGTACGCTCGAAACAGCCCAGACATCAGCAAAAAAAAAACATAATGAGGAAGTTTAAAAATAACCGCAACAATTATTAAGACGAAAGAAAAAAAAATGTCCAACGCCATATTGCATAAAATCCCAGCTGCAAACACAATCAAAACTTGTATAGAATTAAAACCATTCTATTCAACAGGAAGGAATAACCGATGACAAGCTGATTGAATTTTGAATCGCAAAATAGCAAAATTCAAATGCAATCGTGACTGCTGTCATCGTCGGTTGAAATTTCTTATTTGTATCTAAAACAGAAATGGTCATACATACAAACAAAATTGGAAAAAGGCGTCGCGATTTTTCCCCACGCATGTGCAATTTTTTTTTCGTCCTCTAACCATATTTTGTGAAAAAAGAAGAGCCCTTTTTTGACGAGACGCCGGAAACGAATAATTTCCCTATGTATTAGAAAGAAGCAAGCTTCAAGGAATCAAGGATATACAATTTTAAAGGCGTGGAGCGTTTTAAATTAATGCCGAAAATGTGGCTTCACCGTCTGCTACGGTCCTTAAAATAATGTCTATTCCTTTTTTTCAATCAGCTCGATGAACAATATACTGCATACGGTATAAGAATAAGTCAGCGGAAGCGAAGCTCATTTGATGGACGTAAAAGTCCTTGATGAAAACCAATCCCATCATCATCAACAGGTGAAGAAAAAAACATCAAACGTTATAAAATATGCAGTTTCATGCAAATGAAGGCAGATTTTGATGATTTTTCGTTGAACTTGGGTTATTGAGGAAATTGCTGGGCACTCATTATCATCCTCCGTTTCTATCCCCAAAGCCCATTTTGTTGGCAATAAACCGCTGAATCAGGTGTTTGCCATTGAAACTCAACTACGGAGTATTCGCGGTTGCAGAGCACCTTTTCCAGCGAACGGGGAACTTTCCACTATACATTGTTTGCTGTGCGTCAATAAATACCACAAAAAGGGGTTTATTGATAATATTCTTCGCATTGGAAATTTGTTCTACTTAAACCGCCTCTTTTTGTTCGGCTTCTTCGTCCTAATGGAAGTATAGAAACGTCGGATTATTCCAGCCTTGACCGATTTTCCCATGACAGGAATCTGTAAAACACATAACGTACGTGAGGTAAATGCATTCTTTTGCGTAATCGAAGAGATGAATATAAAGGCATAAATATACTCGTATGCTGTACCGGTTGATTTTACACTTCTGTTTCTATTTTATTCTAACTTTAAATAAGCTTCTGCTTCATCGCGAGATATGGGGGTATCCACACAGTACGTTTGCCCTTTGTATCAGCAACAGAGCAAAAAATTGCGATCATGTAATCAAAATTCCCTGCTTTTTTAATCAAAATTATCACTAAAATCATTTTTGATGTGAGTATATTAATTTGATGCGCAGTCATAAAATTGAAAATCAATTTAATTCTGAGTCTATTTCTGTACCACACATATTAAATGAAAAAAAGTGATCATCACTTGATTTTCAACGATCTGAAAAATAAAATAACCTCCTAATCATGAATTAATTGAAAAATGGAGAGTCTACTGGAAATTGTTTCGCAGATTGAAAAGGCAGGAAAACCTAAAAATCAGGGTGGAATACGCTCGAAACAGCCCAGACATCAGCAAAAACAAAAAAAAAAACAAAAGAGACATAACGATGAAGTTTAAAAATACTGTAAAATCAACATTTATTAAGACGAAAAAAAAAATTGGTCAACGCCATTCCATAAAATCCCAGCTGCAACACAATCAAAACTTGTGTAAAATTAAAACCATTCTAATGAACAGGAAGGAATAAGCGATGACAAGCTGCTGATTGAATTTTGAATCGCAAAATAGCAAAATTCAAATGCAATCGTGACTGCTGTCATCGTCGGTTGAAATTTCTTATTTGTATCTAAAACAGAAATGGTCTTACATACAAACAAAATCGGAAAAAGGCGTCGCGATTTTTCCCGACGCATGTGCAATGTTTTTTTTTCGTCCTCTAACCATATTTTGTGAAAAAAGAAGAGCCCTTTTTTGACGAGACGCCGGAAACGAATAATTTCCCTATGTATTAGAAAGAAGGAAGCTTCAAGGAATCAAGGATTTACAATTTTAAAGGCGTGGAGCGTTTTAAATTAATGCCGAAAATGTGGCTTCAACGTCTGCTACGGTCCTTAAAATAATGTCTATTCCTTTTTTCAATCAGCTCGATGAACAATATACTGCATACGGTATAAGAATAAGTCAGCGGAAGCGAAGCTCATTCGATGGACGTAAAAGTCCTTGATGAAAACCAATCCCATCATCATCAACAGGTGAAGAAAAAAACATCAAACGTTATAAAATATGCAGTTTCATGCAAATGAAGGCAGATTTTGATGATTTTTCGTTGAGCTATAGTTCGAGTTAAAAGAGTTTTTCGCACCAAGACCAAATGAGTTCAAATGGTTTTCTGAGAAATCCCTGCTGCACTTGACCATGAAAACACGAAAGTACTTTCCCATCGTTTTATTCGCGCAGTGATTTTTTTTATTTATTTCGTGTGTATAATAATAGGGCTGCGAAAACCGGTGATTGCATCGCGTTGACCAATGGTTTCCGGTTAATCTTGATTGTATTTATTCAGAGTACAGTACTAGCATACTTTTTTTTCGAGGTGGGGAATTCCATTAAATGGATGTGGTTCAGAAGACAATGGACCATTCTTCGAGCTTCAGAGTATCCTGGTTGGTTTAAATTTCGATGTTGAGACGAAAAACTTCGATTGGAGATCATTCGGAGATATTTTGTCTTATGACAAAGTTTTTGATAATATGGCAATTTTTCATTGAAAACGCACGTATTTTTATTAGCAACAAAAGCCCTTCGAAGTCTGTAAAACCTTTGAAAAAATTGGGAAACACACGCAGCAGAAAGCTGAATCTCTATAGTTTTGAAAATTTATAAAGGTCTGTTTGCCTGATTGTATGCAGATTTTCAAAAGCCACTCAAATTGCTACTGTAGCTAGTTTCAGACAGCTCAAGCATTCCTGTCAAAAATTAAAGTATAAGCAGTGTTTAGAAACACGGATTTACAAGAATCAGCAAAACAGCTAATCTCCCAAGGAATCTTGTGGGACTAGAGTTGACCTCAAGTTCCCAAGATCTTCCTCAAGTAATGTGTCATCCTTTGAGGACTATTTTTCAAGAAAATCCTTGAGATTCTGCAGGGACATTTTCTTTTATACTTTTCATAAAAATAGTTTTCTTGGTCATCACTGACCAGCAACTGGAATCAATCAAGTCATAGCATCCAGACTAAACAGACCTCAATATGACAGTCCAGTTGTTCAAATCTTTGCATTTGTGTTTTCTGAAGTCTGTTTTCAGTCTTGTGTTGTCCAATCTATACTTCGATTCTTTAAGTCATTGTTTGTCTTCCAAAACAGAGAAATATAATATTTTAAACTAGGGATTTTCAGCCCTGACTGCAGCCCAGCTGATTACTTATTTCCTTGCAAGCCTGTTTGGAAAAGTATTTTATCATACAAGCTTTTGGATAATCAAGCATTTTTGTTGCAAGCTCTTCATTGTGTATTTTGTTGCAAGCTCTTGAAGTGGTTATGATTCAATTTCTCACTTGTTGAGGATTCATTCCCAACAATTCCTGTGGAAAGCAGCATCTGGAAACTTTTGTAAGAACTTTTTTCTTGAAAACAGTGTGCTGGTAAAAAAAAAGTGCTTGAATCGGTTTAATTCGGACATAATCTGAAAGCTAATCGTAAATAAGAGCTACACGTTCTAGTTTTTCTTTTAAAGCTTGTTGGTTGAAGTACATAACTTGAACATCACAGGATATGACATACTGTATATCGCAGCTTGAAGATATTGCTTCTTTTTTTTTTTTTTCTGGTACAACCCTATGCACAATAAAAGAATGAGTATATCACTGTATTCTATTAAAAAGTGAGTCATTGAGTTGCGTTCGAGGACGCTTCAGCGTTTCTTTTATTTTTGGAACAAGGTTCAGACGTGATTCACGTACAGTCAACAAAAATTAATATATCCAAGTTTTACAGCGTCGAAGTTTCAACGATAATAAGACAAATAAATCAGCATTACCGAAATAATAATCGAAATCAATCATTAGGTATAACACTTCTCAACGAGGTGGTTTGATTTCCAGTCAACAGTTTCTCCATTCTTTTGATGAAATTTTCTTTTCGTCGTCGTCTTTTCAGGCCGTCAGATTGAGATTCAGATCCACTTAACGCCTTCCGTATCCGTATCCTATTCAAATAAATGAATGGAAATCAACAACAACAAAATGCGCAAAGAATCGCGACGCATTCAAAAAGGTCTGGGAAAGAATTTTTGAAACAAAATGCAGCATCATATAGACAATGAAAGATTGAGTGGCTCCTCGCATTATAATAGCTATTCACAGAATCTTTCCAATGTACAATTCGAAAACCACGAATTACTTCACAATATTTGCCATTAGCACTTCAAAATATCAGCAGTATAATTGGCAAGTCTAGAAACACAGTTTTATAGTCAATTTTTTCTTCAACGAAGCATATGTGTCGGTTTTATTAGTGGAAAATTGGGTGCAGGAACTTTTAGAATAATCGCTACCATAGAAAAAATAGTTTACGTCGTCGTAAAAAATTCAAATGTTTTTGAACAATAAAGGAAAAAAAAATCTGAATTGTTCTTTTCAGAAATTTGAAACCCATGATTGCGAACTTGGAGCCCAACATATTTTCTGAGCATTATATAGTCAGTACTTCTGATATGACAATAAAAAGGCAGCATATGCAGTTCAATGATACGACTATATACTGAATTTTGAAATTTACATTATTACTCATTTAAAGACAATAAAACATATTCTTGAGGCGTCCACGTGTTCATTTCAATAACAATAAGAAGAATTTAAAATCGACCCCGATGCCCTCATTTTCCTGAATAATTTGTGAAAAAATCTAAAATTATGTCGAGTATGTATGCTTCAATCATAATTGCAAAACGTGTTATTTGATAAAATATTTGCCTGAATTCTTTTCTTTTTAAATATTTTACTTTCTGATTTATGGACTTGAAGGATTGAAATTGTGCTTCATTTCGCGGCTAGTTTAATGTGCTTATCTGAAAATAAATTCCTGATTCAAGATTTTTCTTATACCTCCTCCGAAACCGCCGTTTCCGAAGTGTGGGCGACGACCGCCGCCGTAACCACCGCCGTATCCTCCGCCATAGCCGCCGCCGTATCCGCCACCGTAGCCTCCGTATCTGCCACCGCCGTAGCCTCCACCGAAGTGGTGGCGTTCTTCAACGTCTGGGGCGCCTTCAGCCGGTGGCGCCTCGGACGACGGGGCGTCCTGCGGATAGGCGACTGCTGAGCAAGTCGCGACGATCAACAGCACTGCGAGTGAGGCGGCGAGCTGAAAAGGGTTTTCGAATTCTGTTATTTTTTGAATCCGACAAAATTATTCGAATTCCCTTCCCGTTTTTTCAAATCATAAAGAAATTTTCGTACTGTTTAATCTAAATATATTCTAATACCGTAGACTCTTTTTTTGAGTTCGTTTAAAATTTCCGGATATTTCTTGCAGGCGGAAAGTTGTTCAAATCAATTTTGGGCAGTTAATTACGACATGCAAAATACATGCGATCAGAGAGAAAAATAAATAAAATTCGATCATTTAACCACAAATTATTGCTTCAATTTCAGTTCCTTGTGGATTTTCAAAAAATTACCAACATATTATGTCGACAAAAAATCTGCATCAGAATTTGAAATAAAATAGCTGGGGTACATGAAAAATAAAAATAAAACACTGCGAAGGTCGTGCACATTTTGTAGTTTTTAAATACTTTTTCATTTAAGAACTGGGGAAAATCTCTTCGAAGTAAATCGTACAAAAAGCATTTCAATTCGTTATCTGAGAACATTTTAAATATTTCTCAAGACTTTCCAAGTATTACGAGGCAGGCTATTCGTAAATTTCTCTCAAGGAAAAAATACTGTTGTATTTCGATTTGAACAACTTTCCGCCTGCTACAAGAAATATCCTAACATTTCAAACGAACACAAAAAAGAGTGGACGGTATTAGAAAATATTTAGATCAAACAGTACAAAAAAATACTGTTGTATTTTTCAAAATCCCTTTTATTCCTCAAAATTCGTTCCTTCATGCTTAAAATATAAAGATGTACAGTACTTACAAATTTCATCTTGACTTTTGGCTTCTCGAACGACCGATAGAAATCTGGAACAAGAAAGGGATTCAAGAGTTACTTGATAATTCGGCAGGCTTGCCAAAAGTAAAATATTTGCTTTTCTTGACAAAGCCCATAAAATTGTGTTCACACCGTGTATTGTATGTGTCTCAAAAATTGAACTACTTTTTTTTGCATTGGTTTCGCAGAGACGCGGTGGATCGAAGTTGACTACATGCATTTGTTTAGAAGCATGAAAAATGCATCAGTTTAAGACTTTAAACTCCGGTAAAGTTATAAACTTTGACTTCAATTTCTTTTTCGGAGGAAGAGCGATGTCAGTCGGAAGAAGCACTGAGAGAGTTTGTTCATCGAAGAAGAACTTTCCGCTGCTTTTGAAACCATCGTTTATCGCTGAAACTTCCGAGGGTGGGGATTTTTAGGTGATAAAACGCATCTTCTCGACAGAAAAATGTGTTTTCCCCGAGATAATTTGACTCTGGTTTTAATCAAAGTGACGAAGAACGAACAGACGGAAGTGAAAATGCGCAGCAACGAAGATCAGCTCTTCTGAAATAAATTCGATGCTCGTGTCTGAAGTGGAAAGAAAATTTTGAAAAAACTTTTCATTTCTTCAATTTCTCTGATGGTTACATACACGTACATAATTCACTTGACACCCAAATAAATATTTCTAAATAAGCTTAGCACTCACACTGTAAAAATCTGTGCTTGCTGTTATCATAAATCGACGTGGTTGTATAATTTTAAAAATGAGCCTAAGGAAAGCTGAATCATTTTCCATCGTCTGATGGGAGTATTAACTCTTCGAGCAATTGAGAAAGTCCCTGAAATGTCGAGAATATTAATGATGTATAGCAGTTATTCATAATTTCATAATTTTCAATCCGTGGAAAAATGTTGTCACAAATTACGAAACCATTGGGATCGAAAAGTAAAATTCTTTGCCGTAACTAAAAATGCATTACCTATAAACAAGTTTAAAAAAAATTGTTTCCTCTGAACAGAGACCAAACTGATGAATTCATGGTATCGCAAACAAACTGTTCTAAAGAAATTTGTCGTTATCATGACATTTTCCTGTAAAATGCTCTGGTGTATTTTTAATGTGCACTGCAATTTTCTTTGTTTGTTGATTGTAAGAATTCCGAAGATTTTTTTGGCAATGATAATTAGCGGTTATTAAGGTTTGCAGGCTAGCTATTTCTTCTAGTTTCCAACTGATGTCAGGTACATGAATATATGCTATTATTTGTTCCCGAGTCAAAATTAAAGAAATAAGGTCTTTATAGGCACTAAGTCATTTGTTATGAATTACAGTATATTTGTCAGATATGAAAATACTGTATTATTCAATGGACAGTTGTTTCATAGTTCATTTGGAATTTTCTTAATTTTTGAGAAATTATTAAATGAATTCAGGGATCACGTATGTTTCCGCAGAAAAACCTTAAAATATTGGATCACTTTTTTCACAGTATATGGGACATGGGATTTTCAACGGCATTCTTTCTTCTTAAACTCCAGGCTAGTTTTATTCGTCACTTCCTTCAATAAAGTCGTGAATTTCTTATCGTTTGAGGTGTCAATTTTCATAATACAAAATGTTGTATGACTGGTTTATTTTGAGATTATCTCTTTTTTTTTTCGCCACGTTCTGATTTCTATGGCGTGACGAGTTGGAAAAGGTTGAAATGTAACCAATGGTTTGCCCTATAGTTTCGAACCCCGACGTTTGAGTCAAAAGCACATGCAGAAATGAGCACATGGAAGGTTTTTAAGTCTGTGGTTACTCCAGGCCATGGTGTAACATTACCCATTCCGCGTCAGATGGCCACACCTTCACCTTGATGATGCTGATGCTTCCATATTCTCTCCACCAGGCGCTGCTTCAACGCAATTGCACCATTGCACCAGAAATTTATACGGTAGTTCCTTCCTGTTTCAGCCAAAGGCTATCCCTCAACTTGAGTAAAGCTATAAATCTCCAGACTATCATAATGCTGAACTATAGTATTGAATTTATATATTTGATGAAATGAGGTTTTTGTGAAGTCGTTATATGATCGATTTTTGGGCAAAAACATACGATATATGTACATGAGCACCATAAAAAATAATTAAATTGTCATGGAGAATCAGACATTCTTCTACAGCAGCATCTGAGAATATACAATTGACATTCCCTGGATTAGTTCATGATCATATAAGAAAAAGCTGAAATTTGAATACATTGCAATTTCTATGAAGTGGTCAATTTATATTAAATTTTTCTTTGAAATTAAGTTTCTGTGAAATCATTGACAATCGATTTTTTGGGTAAAAATAATTTCCAATGCATGTATATTGGGCACAAGACTCAATATAATTTGATGTCCAGTGATATAAAGATTAGAATAAAAACACATTTTTCTGTTCAGGATTCTGTTCAGGAATTCCTAGTTCAAAGAGGAGTAAATGTATTTTGGAATAAAATTGGAATAAGCAACATCTCACTTGAACTCAACTTAAATAAATTGGAATAATGCAGTAACTGAATCAAATCTAATGACAACATGAAGAAAGACCAGATTATATATTATTGATTACATTCAACCTTCAGAAGGTTTCCCTTTATAACCATAGCAAGAATGCTAATGTTGAGGATGCTGCGGTGCACTGCAATTGTGAGGAGGGCAAAGACTGCTGTTTCTATAAGAACAAGGTACGCTATTTTACCTGGCATGCATGCCCAACAGCATGTATAAGAAACAGAATACAAAAAATGATATGCCCGTATGGGGAATCAAAATTGAGACATTCTTCTGCAGCATCCTCTGAAATTGAACAATTAATATTTCCTTGATTACTTCATGCTCCCAGAAAGAGCTAAAATTCTAATACAATGGAATCCCATTGCAACATACTTGCAGGGACCTCAGAAAAGGTTCTTGTAACAAATAAATTGTTATAACAAGATTTTCAAAAATATTTACTGCTGCTGGGAAGATTTTTCAAACATTAAAGCTGTAGACATTCAAGATCTTCCTTTTGGGGCCTTTTCAAACATTTTAGCCATGTTTCTGAAATGTATCTTGTTGTCCTTTCTATTACAGGACTGTGAGTCAAGAATAAAAGAACTACGTTCTTATTCTAGATTAATATCCTTTATACAACAATCTCATCCGCATTCAATATAACATTACGAATACACAAACACACAAGTCCAGCTTGTCTATACTTCGAAATAGGTTTGAGCTTTAACAGAGTTTGACTATGGAGTTTACTGTATGAAGCTTGGATGAGATCTCTCTTGAGATTTCACCAAGCAGGGGTATTTAAACCTAGCCAGCCTAGATGGGGGAAACAAAGGAAACAATCATAAGCTTTAACAGAGTTTTGACTATGGAGTTTACTGTATGAAGCTTGGATGAGATCTCTCTTGAGATTTCACCAAGCAGGGGTATTTAAACCTAGCCAGCCTAGATGGGGGAAACAAAGGAAACAATCATCGCGACCCTAATAGCAGAAATCCAGATCCATGAAATGAACAAGGTGGAAATTGCTCTGAGTGAAATATAATTGCGCTGGTTACACATCAATGATAATGACCAGGCGCAACAAGAGCAAGATAAACAAATATCACTCCCATTTCGTAAAGAGTTGAGCCCACCAGGATTTCAGGATTGATTGTACTTTAATTACCTGAGGAAGGTTACTGTAACTTGTCATGAGAAGTTGTAAAGACTTCTCTTCAAGGAAATTGCAGCAATTATATTTGCTTTAGCAATTTCCCATTTCTAGGCTTTCCAAAAAGGTTTCTTCTGAAACTACCAAAAAGGGTCTTCTGAAAGTTACTGTATTTCTAAGATATCAAACTCACCCTGCACAATAAAAAAAAGGTTCCATCCTTTTGCAAAAGTCAGCAGAAAAAGAACAACAAGTGAACCAAGTGCGAGACTCAGTGCAACAGTGCCCTATTTTCCATTGCTGTTTCTTTCAGGAGCCATAAAGGCTTTGTGGGAATGGCAATTGTTATTACCAACCCTCAGGAGGAATCAGGCATGAATCCAACAGATGTTCGGATCAAGAAGAATGATAATATCTTCTTCAGTTGGCATCAAGTGCTATTCGTTGACGGATGATTCGTTGGGCCTGAAATTTTGGTGGTTGACTTTGGTGAGCATTGTTAGCTTAGTCTATTTTTTTCAAATTTTTCTGACTGTAATTTAATGATTTTCGTAACGGACGCCGCTGCGTCGTTAACAACTTCCTGTTCCAAAAAGTCGACAAAAGTTGATGGGTCTCCTGGAGCTGGTGGCCTCAAACATTGTTTCGCAAATTGTTTGACTGCTGAGTGACTTTGTGCTGTTGGGGATCTTCAACTTCATCAAGAAGAAAGTTCAGCAAGTGAAAGGTGAGTAACCAAAAAAAAAAATTCTTTTCAGAAATAACAGTTTTTCTCAAAATTTTCACAGATGGCGTTCCTGAGGTTGCTGGTTCTGCTGTTCGTTGGGGTTGCAGTTGCTGGGGCCAACTGAGGTCCGGAAGGTGGGGCGTTCCTGTGTCGGGACGTCTGTGGCAAGGAGGTGAGGGGCGCCAGCAGCTACAGGCGTCGCGTGACGTTTGTCAGGGCAACGCTGTTCTTGGACTGCGTCAGGCAGGCGGACCTCAAGGTGAGTTTTGGTCAAGATAGAAAAGTGACATATGTGACAGTCAATTCTCATTTGTAGGAGGTAAAGCTGCTTTCTCCGATGGTCTGCATCGGGCATCAATCCAAGATGGATCGTGTGGTGACGCCGTGGAGGTGGTGCAAGGAAGTCATGCCACCCGAACCAGAGATCTCGACAGCGGCAGTTCTGCCGGTGGTTGGTGAGTTGTTTCAGCTTTTCCATACAGACATAAACATCTCAAAACACAACTCACATAACATGTTCACAACAACATAACACATAACCAACACCTGTACCATAACCCAAAAAAATAATTTTCCTTCACCATTTTTAATAAAATATTTTGTATAAATATTATAAGAGGGCCTTGCCCGGTGGTGTTAATGGCCAATTTGGCGGTTGTTCACGTGCCGGCGAGCAAAACGCCGCTTGTGGTTCAGGCACCGCCCTCAACGCAGCAAAGCGTCGTAGTGGCCCAAGAGGTGCCACACGTCATTAGGGCACTGTTGTTGACGCCAGAAGTGACAGTCAACATTAAGCATGGTGTTGCGCACGTCGAGGCGGACGTGGACCCATGGACTGCCATGGTCCTGGTCTTCATGGGCCTTGGAGGGGCAGGGGCTATGTCCCTGGCTGTCTTTTTGGTCTGGCTTGTTAAGTTCATCAGGAACAAGGTTAGACAATTTTTCTTTTGCTTTAATAAAAATGATTAACAATGCTTTGCTTCTATACTTGCTTTGCTTTTCTGTGCATGCTTTTACAAACATAGAGGAAAAAAAGAATCCTAAAGCTGGATAAAGCTAAAGTTAAAGAATGCATGGTAGGATCTATGCCCAATATATTTTTTAATGTGCTAGATTCTGATGATGAAGAGTTTGAAGTTTTCTCTCAGAATTATGCGGATATCAGGGCTAGATCCCCAAGAGTTTCAACATTCAGGCAAGGTAAACAATAACATGTAAATACAAAACAGCGCATGCAATAATTTTTGATGCTTTGCTTGGGGCTTTTTCTTTTCTCTTTTTGTACAGTCATCGTACATGAGGGAGCTGGTGCTGATGCTGACGGCGGAGGATCAGCAGGATCCAGAAGCCCAACCAGTGGTGGATCTGCTGGGGCTGGAAGAGACGGATAAGCCCGTTGAAGAAGAAAAAGAGGAAGAGTTGGTCCTTGAGGACAACAACCCTTTTAAAGAAATGTTGAACGCGTAAAATCTTAAGAAGCGCGTCAAAGAGAGAGTGCCATTTTTTGTACCCACATTTTATATGGGTCTCTGGCAATAGAGAAATTGTAAAAAGAATTTCTGGCCTCTGATTCTCTTTTTCGTTTGTCTTTTCCAGCCAAATTTCCTTTTCAGAAAGTGATCAGCAAATGGACAAGATTCCTGTGGAGGAGTCCATCTCCAATCTAGGATAAATTGCAGGCTTAGGAGTAGGAGATTGGATAAATCTCACAGATGCTTGAGCATCATCAGATCTTCTAGAAGGAGAGGACCTCCTAATCTGTAAGACATACCAAATCTTGGCATAGCATAAATAAATAAGACATAGTAAAATAATGAGCAACAATGAGACTGACACAATCATATAAATATAACCATAGTCTCTGAAGTGAATTTGTAGCTCACTGATGTCTGAGGAAATTTGATGGATACCTGGCATGACAGCAGGTATTTCTTGCACCACATTAATCTCAATATTCTCAAGTTTAGGCAACACATCAGTAAAAGGACCATTCACAACTGTATAGCAACAATTAGGCTTGAATTGAAGAATTCCAGAATAAGGTAACTCATAAGAATTTTCAGATGCAGATATGCTAGAATTCTTGGAACCAGAACAGTACTGAGTGATCCTTCCCTTGTCATTGTCCACAAATGCAAACTCATCACTATCCAGCTGCACAACAGTGTTGCTAGGAGTGCTAATTTGTTTTAAAGGACACTTGACTTTAATTGTAGATTCATTTTCCCCATTTTGAATTGATGACACACAGGGGTCTAGTTCTTGGGAAGGAGGTCTGTTAAATCTACAGATCCTACAATCAGCTTGTCCCAATTGATTTAAGCATATAGGTAAATCAAGAGAATTTAAACCATAAAGTCTGGAGCCTTGAGATAAAAGATATGAGTGCCTCAGAAAGGCTTGCTTCCATTTATGAGCTCCCATGTAAGTATCTTCAGCAATACGCAAAGCATGAATTTTAAAGAGCTCATATTTGTCAATGGACCTGATGATTGGTACCACAGTTGTGATCCTGTAAAAACATGAAGTGTTGACTGCCTCAAGATCTTGAGAACAAGGGTCAAAATGACCTATGGTCAATGGGTTTGACCTGATCAAAGCAAACAAGTCTTGTAGAGTCAAAACTGTAGTTGGAGGATGATGTTCAGTTTTGATAATTTGTTCCAATTGGGTCTTAACCTCAGAGTTTTTCAAGAGGGTAATTGGATATTGAAATTGATGAATTCTGTCCATATCAGCCATCAAGGAAATTAAGAGCCTGGTGAAATGGGCTAATTCATTCCCAAGACTGGTTAAATATAACCAGGAAGTAGCATCATTTGGCAAGGTGGAATTTATTTGATTTCCCAATTGGGTTGCCACTTCATATATGTTGCTGTTTGGCCTGTAATGAGCAGGTGGAGAAATTGTTGCTCTTTTCTCTTGGACTTGAATTTCATCTATTTGATTCTTTCTTCTCCTCATTATGGGTAGCAGACTTAAATAGGAGGATTCTGGAGGAAATGGTTTGGAGGTGTCTTTTGCTCTGATTCTAAGATTGATTAATTCTTTGTTGTCTTAACCAGCTTAAATTTTGGAGCAGAGTTGTCAATCAGACAATTGCTGCTAATAAAAACTGTTGACTGTTGGTATCAAAGATTTGACTGTTTTCCGTGTGCTTTCAAAGATTCAAAATTAGACTTTGACAAACTTTACAAGTGCGTCTTTTATTTCCGTTTCACACAGCGTAGAAATATATGAGCTTGCGGCGTTGAGGTTCTCGCGTCAAACGTTCTGGGAGAGTAAACTTAACTTAGTATTGCAGACACTCGTATATATAGACAAACCCGTTTTTGAGGTCAGCGCCGAGCCTAGCAACTGATTCGGATCGGTGTTGACATACTTGGTTGCGCAGCAACCAAGGTGAAAGGTGCATAGCGCAAGAAGGCTTGTATATACATTAGCATATATATAATATATACGGGCGTGCATGGAATTTTAACGATGCGGAACAAAACGTGAAGCATGCAAGGGAACCTCAGAAAGTGCGGTACATAGTGGTCCTGACATTTATTGGACCACAAATCTCCCCTGATAAACAAGAAAAAGCTCCTGCGTACTCCCACCAAGTCAGAGAAAATTGCTTTCGAAATGTTTTTTCACGCTCCCACACTTTCTCGTTACGTCGGAGCAATTATGCCGAGTGACGTTCAACAGGAATGAGTTCATCTGGGGAGAGGCAGGAAGTAATAATAACAACCACAGCCTTCTCCCTCATGCCTGATCAAGTCAAAATTATCAGTACTTTCCACATGATTTTCCTAGGGATCTTAATAAATTTGGGAAACACTAGATGTTTTTCCAATAGTGGGGAATTGAAAACAAACCTCAGAACTTAATCTGGCGGGTTGTTCTCACTACTGGGTCAGTGTTGTCTGCTTCTAGTTCTTCCACTCACAGCTGGAGATGATTTGGAGTGGTTTGTTGCTGCTGATTTTGATGTCGAGTTCTGGCAGCAAGTATAGTGCTGGGTGTTAAACCCTGCAGCAATCTCAACTTCGATTTTTTCTTTGCTGATGGTCCAGCAGCAGAATGATCTGTTCTAATTTGCGATCTGGATCTTTGTCTTGCGCCTTCAGGTGTTCTTTCCTGAAAATAGGATTTGGATCTCGATGAGCATGAGGTTGAGATCTGCTTTCCCTTGATTGTTCTAGCTCGTCAGGAATTTCTGGATCCTCTTCTCCTGGAATCTCAGGCTGAGATTTTCTTTTCTTTGAGGATCGTCTTTCTGTTGATTGTTTTGAGCTGAATGGGAATTCTGTCCTATCTTTAGAAGTTTTAGGAGTACTGACAGCTCCAGGAGGAGTGTGATGTTCATCAATGGTATCAGAGAGAGAGGGAAGAGTCTCTGCTGATGCATTAAGATTTTTAGAAGGAACATCAGGGTTTAAGAATTTTCCAAATTCGTTTGTCAGATTTTGAACTCCTTGGGAAAGAGACTGTAAGAAAGAAGGTTGCTCAATGACAGTCTGCTGGGCAGGAAGAGTATCATCAACTTCTTCTTCCTCTTCATGCAGAGAATTGTCAGCTGAGACAAAGATGTCCTCAGAGCTTGAAAATGGAGTTGCATTAGCAAGTGTTTTTGTCGGAATAGAGGGAGAAACAGTTTGAAAATTTTCAGAATTTTTAGAGGACTGGGGAGAACCACCCCCTTCAAAAGAAGAATGAAAGTCCTCTTTCTGTGTTGATTTCGAAGATGGAGAAGGAGAAAAATTGAATGGTTCTTCTGAAGGATCTCGAGTTTCTTTAGGGAGATCCTTGTTACCCTTGGTACTGCCAACCTCCACGACAGTACTTTTGGGCTGATTTCAAAGGCTAGGGGCACAAGGAACATACTCATTGTCAGAAAGATCATTGATGGGATGCTTTTCAGGTGGCGGCGTGCATGACACGTAAGGTCGGACGTAGCTGATGTGGATTATGTCAGTCCAGGTTGGATTTTTGTCGTTCGCAAACTCTGACGACTACAGGATTGACGACGTCAATCACTGTATATGGGCCTTTATATTTTGGGCTCCATTTCCGACCTACATATGTAGCTTGTTGATGTATTCTAATCCACACCTTGTCACCCACCTGGTATTCTTTTCCTTTTTGATGTAGATTGAGTCTTTCCAAATAGGAAGCTTGACCCTTTCTAATGGCTTCAATAGCCTTCTTTCTGACCTCAGACAAATGATTTTGTTTGTCTTTGTAATATTCCTGGACATTGGAGAGGTCTTTTCTATTCCATGATGTTGGAATCCAATTTGTCCTTGGTTTTACCCCTTTAATGATTTCAAAAGGAGAGGCTTGCAGAGCCTCATGTTTGGAGGAGTTATGGACCCATGCTGCAAATTTCAGCAGCTCATCCCAAGTTTGTCTGTTTTCTGGATCAAGATACATGGCCAGATATTCATGTAATTCCCTGTGGGCCCTTTCATTCTGACCGTTTCCTTGGGGCATGTAGGCAGTTGTAGTATGTGCCCTGGACCCCAAAAACCTTGCCATATCCCTAAAAACTTCACTGATGAAGTTTGTCCCCCTGTCAGTTAGGATCCTCTTTGGTGCTCCAAATAGACAAACCTAGTCTCTTATGAATAAGGGGGCGGTAGTCTGAGCAGAGGCGTCTCTCATTGGAGAGAACACAATCCATCTGGAGAGGCGATCTTGAATTACCAAGACGTATCTCATGCCGGATTGACTGCTGGGAACTGGACCCACTACATCAATGCTGATGTCTTTGAAACATTCCGAAGGGATCCCTGTGGACAAATAAGGTGTTCTATGGGAATAATTCTTATTAGCTTGGCAAGTTTTGCGTGACCTGATGTAATCAGCCTTGTCTTTTTTGAGATTGGGCCAATATAATTTGTTCTTGATCGCGTTAACAGTTTGATCTACCCCACAATGACCCTTCAACTGAGGATCATGATGTATTCGAATTATCTCGTTTCTGAGACTTGGTGGGACCCAGATCTTCCTGGAATCATTTTCACTTTGATACACAAGGTTATCTTCCATTGTGTAATTATCCCCATTAGGAATTGTATGACATCTGCGCATTTGTTGTTGCAGTAATTCTCTCAAAATGAACGGTATCATTTGATTAGTCTGAAGAGCAGGAGACAGATAAGCACAGATTTTTGCTTTTGGCAGATACCTGGATATGGCATCTGTGTGTGGAATTTGCAGGCCCTTTTTATATTGAAGAGCAGGAGACAGATAAGCACAGATTTTTGCTTTTGGAGGATACCTGGATAGGGCATCTGCGTGTGGAATTTGCAGGCCCTTTTTATATTCCACAGTATAATCATACTCATTAAGAGTAGTAAACCAAGTTATTGCCCTTCTGCTATCATTCTGTCTTTGTCTGCTTAAATAAGGAATAGCTATATGGTCAGTCTTGATGACAAATTTGTGACCCCAAATATAGGACTTAAATTGATTGACACCATAAAACACAGCCAAGATTTCTCTATCTGTGTTGGGGTATCTGGACTCAGCATCATTTAAAGTCCTGGAAGCACAACCAATA